TTAGGAGGTATGGTGCCAATTTTTTCATCCTAAATTTTTAGAAGACCAAAATATTCAATTTTTAATTTTGAAAATCCAGTGTAAGTCCTCTTTAAAAAAGAAATAAGGAATCTAAAAACTTTTTGTAGTATGTGATATCTTTATTTATTTAGCTAGCTAAACAAGAATAATATTTATTATTTTCATTTGTTTTAACTTTTATTTTATAATTTTCTATAACTCAAATAAATTATCTAATAATTACGTAATTTTTAAAAAATTATGTATTTATTGCTACGGGTACACGCGCAAAACGCGTACCTTAAAACTAGTATATGGAAATGTCGAAAGAAATAAAAAACCTTAGCAAAAAGGCCTTTATCTCTATTCTCATAGTTCATAGAATTTCTAAATCTCTTTTTTTTGTATATCAACTACGAGTATATTTAATCGTACAATGGGGTTGAGAGAGATATGTATAGGTCCAAATTTGGACGACCACGACCATTGCTGAGTGCGGCGAGGAACGAGGTCCTTACGATATAGCGCCCTTTGTTGTTATAAAGGGTGATGACCAACAGTGGTTAAAGCGAACGCACGACGTCTGCAGTAGTGTTAGCGTAGTAGGAGACAGTAGGAATATGCTTTTCGAATATTCTTTGTGTTGTACCTTTTTAGGGTTTGAAAGGGGATTGTCCCTTATAAATAGGAGGAAAATGCTCTGTAAAAGGGGGGATACCAAAAAGACAACTTTGCTTACTGAATACAGATCTGAAATCCTTACATCATCTTATTTTGGTCAATCGCATTCATTACAACATTTTTCCGCATTTGAAGTTATCATATTTATGAGTAATCATTTGGTTCCGACATACAAGGAAACATCGATCATCTTGTCTTTCTCTTACATCATTTAATCTAGATTTTATTATACTTGGCTGAGATTTACCTCTTCATCTTCATTGATTGATCTAAACCAAAAAGGTTTCAATATTTTTTGGTCAAACAATTTGGCGCCGTCTGTGGGGATTTCTTCAGCCAAGATCTTAGTTTCATCTAGATCTTAAAAAGGGATAGTCACCTCTTCCTAGCTTTGCACAAATTAACAATGGCAGGGAAAGAAGATGCAAGGCAAAAAGCAATAGTAGGTGTCACAACAAACCTCCTGAACACCATCAATGAAGACAACAGGGAAAATAACGAAAACGGGACCCCAAACACCACACCCAAGGGAGACGCTTCACCTCCCCCGCACGAAAGTGTAACTGTTTCACGCGAGAAGGAAGCCTCCACATCTATAACAGGAGAGGCACCGCCGGCAGTGAGAAGACTGCTGGAAGAATGGCTAACAACCACTCTGAACAACATACTTGATAAACCCGCCCAGAGGGATAACAGAAATAATTGCGCATGTAGATATCACGACGATCGCTGATGAGCAAGGTATCCCCCGTACAGGTAACACTCATATTGTTGATGATGCAGGTAATGACACGCTCGCAGCCGTTTTAAAGAAAATGGAAGAGATGGAAAATGAGAACAGGGCGCTCCGTGACCAGATGAAGGAGCACCAAGAGAGGGTTGAAAAAATACCGGGCGCCCCAAAGTTGTTGCCAAAATGGGACGTTGGTCGATTCATCGAGCAACCATACAATGAAAAAGCGCCCCCCTACGCCATTCCAAAGACCTTCAAAATGCCACCTTACCTAAAGATATACGACGGTACCACCGATCCAGAAGATCATATCATCCACTACGTTACAGCCGTAAAAGGTAACGATCTTTCGAAAGAACAGGTACCATCGGTGCTACTAAAAAAGTTCGACGAAACACTAACAGGGGGAGCCCTGACCTGGTACTCCCAACTACCGGCGCGATCGATAGCAACGTTTGAAGAAATGGCAGACAAGTTTGTCACCGCCCATGCAGGGGCCAAAAAGGCAGAAGCCAGAGTAAACGACATATTTGCCGTTAGGCAGTTGCACGGCGAAGGACTCAGGGACTTCTTAGCTCGGTTCAACAGGGTAAGAATGAGCTTGCCAAATGTGTCAGAGGGAATGGCGAAAGCAGCCTTCCAGAACGGACTAAATAGGAACGGGTCGAGAGCGACTAGAAAATTATTAAGCAGGCTCATGAAATACACTCCAACCACTTGGGAAGAAATTCACAACGCATACTGCTCTGAAGTAAGAGCCGATGAGGACGACCTCAACGGTCCGATCCAACGGTTGACGTCAGTTCAAATCGAAGCAAGGAGAGATCATCGCAACGACGGTCGAAGAGAGGACCCCGTCTCGGCCGAGAAAGGCATCAGCCCTATATCAGGACATCTATCCCACCTCCTCCACGGCACACAGATGCTCCTTCTCGACATGCAGCGCCACATCGACACGAAAAAGTATGCCTCCGCTCCTATCTGCTCATAATTTTTGTGTCTCTCCTTCAGAAATAGTGTACGCACTGGAGAAACTCGGTACCAAGGTACAATGGCCGCAAAAGAGGAAGTCCGACCCAAGCACTCGGAAATCGAACGCCCTCTGCAAATTCCACCAGGAAAGGGGTCACTAAACCGAAGATTGCATAGGACTACGGCAGGAGGTAGTGAGAATGCTGAATTAGGGACACCTGAAAGAATTGCTGAGCGATCGAGGACGGGCTAACTTTGCCCGCGGACGTGAACAACCCCAGGGACCTCCTAAACCGCCTTCTCCCGCTCGTACTATACAGATGATCATCGGCGGGGGCGACGACACAGCAATCAATCATGTAAATTTCACCACCACACATAAACTCAAACGGTCGATTACTCATAACGGTATGATGACCTCGAAGATAGTATCGTCTTCGATAAGTCAGATACCGATGGTTTGTCTTTCCCTCATTACGATGCTCTTGTTATCACTTTACGTATTGCAGATACTGATGTAAAAATAATAATGGTAGTGTTGACATCCAATTTTGGCCATCCTCTTTCAAATTATCTTTCTTTGACTTCATAATCATATAAATATTACCTTATCTTATTATGTGAGAAACTACCATGTTTACCAAGTATTTTAAACATTACTACTATTTACGTTATCAAATCTTTTGGAATTTTGATTTAAATTATATTTTTCCATTTTGTTAAATATTTGTTATACTACTTTACTTGTACTAATATAATCAAGGTTATTTGTATTTTACACTCATTTGTTACTTTTCAAAAAGTACAATTACTTTATAAATTCTATTTTTAATCATCTTATAAGTTGAACTCTCGATAAGCTACATGATATAATTTTATAGTTACAATTTTGCTTTAACTTAATCATATACTAAGCGTTTAATTTATTGACAGTTTATATTTTTAAATAACATCAACACCACGATTCTAGGAGTGTTGAAGTCCAAATAATGTATAAGAAGGGAAGTGGGCTGTCTTCCTTTTTGAGCGACAGAAGCTCAAAGGGAGCTTGTATGCTATTGAGAAATCTACATGACAGAGCACTTCTTAAAAAATATTAGCAATCTTTATTTATTACATATAGGGAAGTTTTTTTACACTAATGGCATATTGTAAAAATAAGCAAATAATTAATGAACAGAGAAAAAGGCACAAATCATGGGATAGTTGCAAAGCACTCTCTCTCACATGGTCTTTTTCAAAAGAACCCAGAGTTTCTCCTCTCTCTTCTATTTTCTCAATCTCTTGTCTTATTTTCTCCGATCACTCCATCTAGCAGCGGGATTCCATTACAGTTACTGAGATTTCGCTCAATCATTCCACAATATTCGAAACATATGAAATGGAATTCGGGGACGTCAATATAATTGTCCTCCGAGGGATCTTTGGCTAAATATCAAGCACAACATTAGCATATTGATTAACTTTATAAACATAATACACATTCCAGAGAAAATTAATACATGTAGAATGTGTATAATAAGTTTTACATAACATGAAAAGTGAAAAATGCGTACTCATAAAAAATAAATATAACATGAATATAATGTGTAGACAAAATTATACATGGGGGTATAAAAATATACCCAAGTAATACTACATATATGGAAAGATTTAAGGAATAAAACATGGGGATATCTATGACATATTTACTGAAATGATAGAATTTATCAAGCATACTTACTAGCTATTGCAGGGTTTGTATATTTAACGATTTGGGATTCGGGGACGTCAATATAATATTCTTCCATGGGATCTTTTACTGAATCTGCAGTGCCAACATCAGCATCTTGATATACTTTGCGTATATCAAGATATATTAAATTATTATACCAATAATGTATAGTAGTAAAAAAAGTGGGCAAATCACTGAAATACTAATTTAAATGATAAGCATGTCAGCAATTAGGTTCCATTTGTTTATACCTGACGTAAACTTATACTAGGAATATATCATTGATCTGCATATGTCAAACACCCGAAATGCAAAATATATGGTATAATTGTAAATTATATGCAGTATAAACCTGATTACGTTGAAAGATACTTGATACAAAAAAAACACATCTAAATATGCAACCAATATATATCATAAGACAGAGAAAAAATAACATTGATTACCACCAAGTCCAGTGTAACTGAAAGTCTGTTTACTTGGCAGCTCATGCCACTCAAACTGCAAAAAGGATTACGGCTGTTACAAATATCAGTTGCCTGACGCTAAGGAGGTTAGTCATCTTAATTAACGCTAAGGATGTTAAGCAGTGTAATTGAAAGTCCGTTTACTTGGATGCGTGAATTGAGGTATAGGGTTTAAAGGATTTTGGCTAGGAATATAATTATTTTGTGGCCTTATGTGTAAAATGCCTAATGGTGCTACATCAGTGGAAATTTTCCTATTTTTTTGCCTACTTCTGTTTTTTGCTCTATGCTATTCCTCATATAGCCCAATTCACCACCAACATGCAATCAGCCCATTAAATACAGCCCAATTATTTTTTAGCCCAAGACTTATTTCACAAAGACTACATCAGCTAGGTAGTTTGTCGTCTTCTCCAAAAAACGCTGCTTTTCACCCATTTGCCTTTCTCTTCGATGTCAAAGCCACTTTTGGCTCCATCTCCATAACTAGAATAGTCCTTAAAGCTTCATCCTTCACAATCAGAAGGTGCATGGCCATTTTGAGCTAAGTTCTGAATCAAATCACTAAGGAATCCCAAAAGTTTTGGCTAAATCTTTAAAGATCACATATGAGTACAAATGGAATTAAAAAGGGTGAAGCTTTTCTTCGTCCTTGTTTCTGAGACCTCTGCCATCACCAACCTTCAAAATTCGAACAGCTTTTGGTTTTGCCTCTCAAATCCTGTCCAAATTCACCGTTGGGAGAACCCTAATTTTTTTATATAAATACTCTTTTTACCTTCTGTCAAAGGATCATGTTTGGGAGCCGCCATTGAAACACTACTATATTTCTTACTCTTACCATTGTTCTTGTCCCTTAGAAACTCTAAGAAAGTACTTTCAAACTTTTATCTTCTGTCCCGGTGTACTTTAGCCGGGATAGAGGTGTTTGAATTTATTGGCTCGGGGTTCGGATCTGTTCATAACGAGAGAGTAGATTCGAAGGCGACGCCCCGTTCACTGCTCACAAAAAGGTAAAATCTGATCCTTTCTGATTTCAATTTTTTCACTCTTAGGTTTCCCTTCTTCAGTTATGCTGAAATATGTTAGTAGAATTTTGATATCACGTCCTTGGAAAGATTCCGTGTTTAGATATTCTATCTGACGTTTGGTTTAACTACTTGAAAGAGTATATCATGTTTAAGTTTAGAACCGTTTCTTGCATTTTATAATCCTATATCATGTATATTTTTTGTGTTTCTTTAGTGTATTATTATGCTTTTGGTTTAGATTTTAACTGTTAGAAACATGATTTTAGGACTAATCACTATTTTACTAATTTATGTCTTAAACAAAAAGAAAGTGCCTCCTGTAGAATATTTAATGTGTCTATTTTCTGTTTTGGATGCTAAAATGAAAATATGGCTTTAAGTTATTCCAAAGCTTAGGTATCGTGCTCATATGTTCTAAAAGCTTGTTCAAAATATACTTTAGCTAACTGAGAATCTATGTTTTCCTTATGAATATTATATCTCCATAATTTTATACATGATTAAACTTCAGCATTTCTGTTAATCTAACAGTAGTCTTAAGGGTGTCAGCATGTATCTTTGCTAGTTCTTTACTTTCTTCTTAAATTTAAGGTTACGTACTACACTGTCAGAATTTGCAAAGTAATTTCTTGTACCATATGTGCCTTCGTTCTCTTTCTAAGATCATGTTTAACTGTATTTTTTATATCTAAAGTAACTTTAAAAGAGTTTACAACATTTTCTTGTCTGCCATTGAGTTAGTGTAAATTATATTTTGGGATGTTATTCAAATAAGGAAGGTAATTTTATTTTTTTCCTAAAGTGAAACATTGTTTGAGAAATTTCTGTTGGTATTAGTTAGATTTCTTTATATTTCTGGTTACCACCATATGTAGACATTTTTTTAAGTATAAGTTTGCAGTATGTAAAATATTTGTTTAAGTATGAGTTTGCAATCTGTGTGCTTCTTCTCTGATTGTTACGTCTATTAAGAAGCATATGGTCCTTTCTAACTCATTCTTCCTTTTCTACTTTGTTTCACATGAACACCGGAGCCGAAGAGTTCCACTTTGAGACTCAACAACGCGGCTGCCGTATATCCGCAAGCACGTCTAGCTTCTACACTGCTAGAAACATAAAATTATTCATTCTCCTGTTTGAGAGCGGAACATAGCTGTTTTGCCTTATTCTTTGCTTTATGATTAGTGACTAAAATTTTACCTGTGTGTGAATATCTTCTGAGTTTAGTTGTATAATTATTTTATTTGTGGTTGTGCAGTCAATATATTAAACCTAGTGGCAATATATTGGTTAGTAACTAGCCCTCATTATCATTTAGGAATTTAGTATACTCCTTTATCATATAATAGTATAAAATCTAGACATAGAGATATTAAGAATTTGGTTAACTTGATTTAGATTCGAGGTATTAGAATTGAAAACTGAGTGTGCTTAAGATAGTGACTCTCGTTTCTTCTTTAGGCAATAACATTGGTTTTCAACTATGATTTTCTTATTTGAACTTTTGGATTTAATTTTTAAGCTTTGCAAATGGGAAAAAACGTGGGATTAACCAACTCTTATATACTAAGTTAATATACTCTTTCTTACACATCTAGACTTGTGGATTTCTTTACACATAACATTAATCTTCCCTTTGAATTAATTGAACCTTTACCTAGAATCTTTATGTTAAGTAGATCATTAACAGAGGTATGCTTTATTACATTACTTTAATCAACTTTAGGTGTCCTACTTCACCTTAGAATAATTAGGTGGAGACTCTTTAACTTTAATCAAACTCGTATTTGCCTATATGTTATACTCTACCTTAATCGGTTTAAAATGGGGAATAACAGGTAGATGATGGGAGCGGCACGTGTATTATCCATCCTCGAGTCCTCATACAGATGAGACTCGAAGATAAAATAATACCGTGTTGTATAACACTAACAGGTTTTAATAATGCAGTCGAGCGGACTTCTGGAGAGATAGTGCTACCCATCCTAGCTGGAGGAGTCACCCTGAAAACAACGTTTCATGTCATGGACCAAGATACAGCCAACAACGCCATCATAGGGCGCCTGTGGATACACGCCATGCGAGCAGTCCCGTCCAGTCTCTCTCAAGTAATCAAGTTTCCTACTCCATGGGGAGTATTCAGCATCCGGGGCGAACAACGCACCGCACAGGAATGCTATCGCATCGCCCAAGATTGCACCCATACCCAACAACTAAATGGGGCAAGTGCGGAAGCCTAGCAATCAGCGATGTCGGGAATCAAGCTTCACGAACGAACAGACGTTATCAAGGATCCCGACATCATGGAAGCATCCGAGTCGATAATAGAGGATCTCGATCCCATCCTACTTGACGGCAACGACAACACGAAAAAGGCTTATATCGGCCACAACCTCTTAGAACCAGATAAGTTTCACAAATTCTTAACTGACAATGACGATCTGTTTGCCTTCTCCCATGCAGATATGCCAGGTATCCCGAAAGACATCGCCACGCACAAACTGAATGTCGATCCCCTCTACCCGCCAGTCGGCAAATAAGGAGGAAGTTCAACACTGCAATCAAGGAAGCCGTCAGCGAAGAAGTCGACAAGTTGCTCACAAACGGCTCCATCCGAGAGTCAAAATATCCCCAGTGGGTCGCCAATGAGGTCATGGTAAAGAAGAAAAACGGAAAGTGGCGGATGTGTGTAGATTTCACACATCTAAACAAGGCCCGCCCAAAAGATTCCTTTCCATTGCCACACATCGGCCAGCTCATCGACGCAGTAGCAGGACACGAGTTGCTAAGCTTCTTGGATGCCTACTCGAGTTACAACCAGACCCTCATGGAGGAAGAAGACCAGGAGAAAACTACTTTCATCACTCACAAAGGAACGTACTGCTATAAGGTCATGCCGTTCAGACTAAAAAATGCAGGAGCGACGTATCAGAGATTGGTCACCAAGATGTTCAAAGACCAACTCGGCAAAACAATGGAAGTCTACATCGATGACATGCTGGTTAAGTCCAAGAGGAAAGAAGATCATATCGATCATCTGAAGGAAGCCTTCGACATATTAAGGCAGTACGACATGAAACTAAACCCCGAAAAATGCGCTTTCGGCGTAACCTCAGGCAGGTTCCTCGGTTTCCTGGTATCGCAAAGAGGCATCGCGGTCAACCCAGATCAGATTAAGGCCATCAAAGGAATACCAGAAATGTTAACCAGCAAAAAACAGGTACAAAAACTGACAGGTCGGATAACCGCCCTGTCAAGATTCATCTCACGATCGTCATATAGGTGTCATAAGTTTTTCAGTGTGCTGAAGAAAGACAACGGGCTCCAGTAGAATTCGGAGTGTGTCGATGCCCTGAGAAATCTGAAAACCTACTTGTCCTCACCACCGTTACTCGCCAAGGCAGAACAAGGCGAATGCCTCCTTGTCTATCTAGCCGTCTCCGAAGTCGTGGTAAGCGCGGTTTTGGTCCTTGAGAGTAAAGGTACGCAATCTCCAATTTACTATATCAGCAAAACTTTGGTTGACGCCGAAACGAGGTATCCCCACCTCGAAAAATTGGCTCTGGCATTGGTCGTAGCTTCACGAAAGCTCAGACCATATTTTCAGTGTCACCCCATAAAAGTGGTAACGTCTTTTTCCCCTCAGGAGCATCCTGCATAGACCCGAGCTGTCGGGTCGATTGGCCAAATGGGCCATAGAATTGAGCGAACATGATATAACATATCAATTGCGAACTGCAATAAAATCACAAGTACTCGCCGACTTCGTCGCTGACTTCAGTGCGGAAATACTGTCTGAGGTCGAACAAGAAGCACTTTCGTGCTTCTCTTGGGCAACCCAACCTTTGGGTCCTCTACACCGACGGCGCATCCAATGCGTCGGGATCTAGGCTGGGACTCGTACTCAAAGTCCGACCGGGCGAAGTGATTCGCCAATCTATACGGTGCCCTGAAATGACTAATATGAGGCCGTAATTGCAGGACTGAAATTGGCCCTCAAATATGGCGCACGACGAGTCGTCCTCCACTATGACTCTCAACTTGTCGTAAACCAAGTTACTGGGACTTTCCAGATCAAGGAGCAGAGGCTAAAGAAATACCAGACCGAAATCTACAAGCTGCTACCAGAATTCGATGAATGCCGATTCGACCAAATACCACGAGCGTAAAATATCGAAACAGACGGTCTCGCCAAGCTGGCAGCATCAACTAAAAACATCACCAAGGAGAACGTGGTCACCCTCCTCCACTCATCAATAGACCAAGTCGAGGTACATTCTATAAATTTAACTTGGGACTGGCGCAACCGCATTATATCATATTTGTAGGAGGGAACACTCCCACAAGATAAAAAGGAAGCCAAGAATCTTCGAATACAAGCAGCCAGGTACAGCCTCATAAACCACGACCTTTACAAAAGGACGTTCGACGGTCCCTTGGCCAAATGCCTCGGACATAATCAAACAAGACAAGTGCTCGAAAAGGTACATGAGGGCCACTGCGGCGCCCATACGGGTAACCGAGCCCTCGTCAGATGTCTTATTCGTGCAGGATACTACTGACTCACTATGAGAAAAGAGGCCACATACTACGTCAAAAAATGTGAGCAATGCCAAAAATACGCCCCTACGATACACCAGGCGGGCGAACTACTGCACTCCGTCACATCTCCATGGTCGTTCATAAAATGGGGGACGGATATTGTCGGACCCCTCCCAGCAGGCCGAGGTAAGATACGCTTCCTTTTCGTTTTAACTGATTACTTTTTCAAATGGGTGGAAACAGGTGCGTTCGCTCAAATACGCGAACAGGAAGTCATCGCGTTCATCTGGAAAAACATCATATGCCGATTTGGCATTCCCAAAGAAATTAGTTGCGACAACGGACCTCAGTTCACCGGGAAAAAGACGACTGAATTCTTCGAAAAATGGCATATCAAGCGGATACTCTCCACACCATATCACCCCACCGGAAACGGTCAAGCAGAATCCTCCAACAAGACAATATTAAACATATTAAAGAAAAAGCTCGAGGACGCCAAAGGGCTATGGACGAAACTGCTACCAGAACTGTTATGGGCCTACCGCACAATGCCAAAGACCAGCACGGGTGAGATACCGTATTCACTGGTTTACGGTACTAACGCAGTCATACCCGTCGAGGTCCGTGAACCCAGCCTGAGGTACTCCAATGAGAGTGGGCCGAGCAACGACGAAAACAGAGTACAAGACCTGGACGATGTTGAAGAACGAAGGGACATGGCTCACATAAGAACGATAGCCAAAAAACAACAAGCAGAAAGGTATTACAACAAGAAGGCCAAAGTACGACCACTTAGAGTCGGGGACTACGTCCTCAAAGCCAGAACACAGGCAACAAAAGACCCGAACGAAGGAAAAATTGGGAACAAATTGGGACGGGCCATGCAAAATCACAGCAGCAGCAAGCAAAGGAGCGTTCCAGTTGGAAACAATGGAGGGAAAACAACTACAAAACAACTGGAATGTCGCCCACCTCAAATATTTCCACTTCTAAGAAATGACGCCATCCAGGTCGTACTCTTTTTCCCTCACTCGAGTTTTGTCCCAATCGGGTTTTCTCAGGGAGGTTTTTAACGAGGCGACAAGGGAGATGTCTTAATGTTCAAAGTATAATTCATCGCCCAGCCTGCCGATAGCATCTCCAGGCCGAGCAATGAAGGGACTAGATACACGAATATTAGTCCGTTGAATGTATACTCCGTTGAATGTACGAAATCTCTATGTATCTCTAATATACGAATGAAATTACTCCAATAAATGTATGAAATCGACAAGTATCTCCAATGTATGAATGAAACAGTCGAAATAACACCCATGGCAAAGGCCATCGCCACGAAAGAGTTCGACTTCCCTCGAACCACGACGGGTTAATATTTTGACACAGTCGAAATAACACCCATGGCTAAGGCCATCGCCACGAAAGAGTTCGACTTCACTCGAACCACGACGGGTTAACATTTCGACACAGTCGAAATAACACCATGGCTAAGGCCATCGCCACGAAAGAGTTCGACTACAGTCGAACCACGACGGGTTAACATTTCGACACAGTCGAAATAATTCCCCATGGCTAAGGCCATCGCTAGAAAAGGGTTCGACTTCACTCGAACCACGACGGGATACTAGTTCGGCACCAACTCGAAAGTAACATCCCAATGGCTAAGGCCATCGTCTAAGAAAAGAGTTCAACATTCTCAAACTACGACGGGATACTACTTCGGCATCAGCTTGAAAGTAACCTCCCTATGACCAAGGCCGTTGCTAACGAAAAAAGTTCAAATTAAACTCACAACACAATGGGGTTAACATTTCAACAAAGATTCGGAATAACATGACTACGGCAAAGGTCATCGTCGAATAAATCAAAAAAAGGAAACAACTCAGAGGTACACGACCAAAATAATTTTCATTACAGCAAATATATTACAAAGTGCTTGTTTCTTTTTACAACGGGCTCAAAGATGCCCTCACAAAAATGGCGAAGCAAAAGTAAATACAACTGAATACTACGCCACAGCATTTCCTGTGGCATACACCTCCTCGTACCAAGAATCGGAGGCAAGTTTGTCCGCATCGTCAGAATTAATATCATCCCCGCCAGGCGTGATGGGGTCATACCCGCATGCCTCACGAGCTGCACGGGCCTTGGCATGCACATCCCGAAGCTTTGCCTCGGACGCCCTCCCGTCAGCATGGAGAGCCTTATACACATCAAGCCGGGCTTCAGCGTGAACCAACAGTTCATACAAATGGCGAGGCACGACATGATCAGCCGATGCATGGGATGTAGAGGGCTGCGACTGACGTCGCACGTTCTCCGTTCTCAAAGAAGCCACCTGTTCATTTAATGCGGACAATTCTGCCTCCAAATCTTGAATACGCCCCTCAAGTCCCGCTACCTTAAGTGCAGATGCCTTTACCTCCTTGTCCTGCTCCAATTTACAAACACGGAGGGCGTCTTCTAAAGTCGCTGCCTCAGAGACGGCAGTGGCCCTATCCCTTTCGGCGTGGGCCAATCCATCAGCATTTGCGCTCAATTCACTCTTAAGGTCAACGACCTTCGCTGCCTTCGTGTCCAGTTCGGCAGTTAAATAGGCCACCTTTGCTTGGAGGTTGGCGTTTTCAGCCATCACTCCTTTTTTAGCTCATGCTCATCTTTCTTGACCTTAAGGGCCGCCTCAAGCTCACTACAACGGGCGATGGCCTTCATAAGGTCCTCATCTCGCTCTTTCAACTCTTCGACCTTACGCGCCAGTTGATCCTCTCTCTGCTTAAGCCCATCGCAGAACAACTGAAAGTCGCGATCCTGAGTGAACATATCAGCCATCACACGATGCTTGGTGCGATATTCTTGATACTTAGAGGACATCTTCCCATAGATGGTCGTATTCCTCCTTTCCCGACGCTCGCGCTCAATCTCCATGATGAGAGTCTAATGTGAAAAACAAAGTTAGAACAAAAGAATAGGCCAAGAATAGTAAAACAGATCCAACAACGAAAAGAAAAGAGAGGCATTTGCCCGTAGAGCCATGCCGGAAACGCTCCGTGACAACTCTACATCACTCATCGCTCTGAGTGCCTTACTCTCAGGAGCAACACATAATGGGGCAAAGACGGACGCCACCTGGTCATAGTTCGATAGCAAGTCGTAGTCCCCGGGGACGACTATGTGTCGATCAGAACCCTCAGTTCTAACCTCCACGCGAGTGTGACGCTCCAAAAATTCTCGAACATCCCCTGGGTCGACGTTCGAACCCGAGCCGTCGCCCTCGGTGCGTAAGCCACCTCCGACAGTAGATGAAGCGCCACCCTCAGCAGAACGCACAGGTCCCCCTCCTTGGTATACTCCTCCTACCCGGGGAGACCTCCCCACCAAAATAACGTCCGCCATAAATGCGGGCACAGGTGCAGTTTCCGACGCACCCGTCCCGCTCTTACCAGATCAGCAGCCACCTCTTTCCCGAGCTCTACCCTCCTCTTTTTTCTCAACGGAGGTTCGTCCCCATAAGAGGACTCATCCACGAGGTTATAGACCGGTAAAGAGGAGGTCTCTTCCCTCACAACCATATCATGAGAGGAGTCTCCCGCCTACACCGGCTGAGCACGACCCTCTCGAACGGATTCCTCCAAAGTAAATTGCATTCCCGCCGAGGAGATGGCCTGGCAAAATGCAGGGACTGGGGCCCTCCGCCTGGAAGCTCCGCGACCTTGCATCACGAGGAGTCGTATCAATAGATAATGGAAAATAGCCGAAGAGTGGCACAGAGGAAAACACTTACCGGATGAGACCTTCGGCCCAAAACGTTTCACAAAAGCAGGCCAGTCTCGGGTCTCCATTGCGTGAAGCAGTAAACGGGCTACCTAGTCCCTTATACCGGCAATGGGACGGGGTGCACGCCCCATAGTTGCAAAAGAAAGCCGCAGATAAATACTAAGTTGAACACAACAAAGAAAAAAGAGAGAGTAAACAAGTTGCGACACCTACGATTATCATTCCACCGCTCCGGGAATCCAGCGGGGTCCGACATAATGTGTTTAGTTCTGACGAAGAAATACTTGTGCCAAAACTTACGGCTCGCCCGGTCGTCAGTTTCGACCACCAGCCCTTTGGTCCAACGGTGCCTCAAATGTACCATAGTACCCCTGTGAAAACTAGGGGAAAACAAGTGCAAGAGGTGATGGATGTCAACGTCGCACCCCGCCAACTCCGCGTATTTTGTCAGCACCAAAAATATTTTATACGTGTACGGAGAAAGCTGTGCCAGGCAAACCTGATAAAATCGATAGAATTCTTCTGCTAACGGGATAAGGGGGAAGGAATGACCAATTACAAAGGGGTATTCGTAAAAAGCACAATACCTCGGTCTATGGACCTCCACGAAGTCCCTCCCCGTCGGAATCATCTCGACATGAGGAGGAATGCTATACTTAGTACGGAGTGCATCTATATGGGTCTGCTCGATTTCAGACACTACCGGAACGGGAGTAGGAGCAGGATCTTTAAGAAAGTCACTTCGAGACATAGGGTGTCTCGGTAACAACTCATATACGGTGGGAAAGCTGTCCCCCTCCCCCGCTATCGTGTCCTCACCACCAGAAGGAAGCGCCATGGATAACGGGGTGGCGTCAGAAATCCCTTGATGTGACCGGTGTGTTCTAGGCATATTTACGGCGGAAAATGTATTAACGAGACAAAAGAAACCAAGAACAATGAACGGAAGAGAGGAAGTTAAGAAATCGCAAAAACAAAGCTAAAGACACGAGAAGGAATGGCCAGAGGAGAAATGACCCAGAGTTTTTGAAAAAACAAACCCTTTACCTATTTATAGGGTTGGGTGGTGCCGGAATCGAAGCGAAAGGCTGCCCATGGCACCAAAACCGAAGCGACAGACCCTCAGTCTCTGTCTCGGGAAAATGCGTAATGATGACGCACGTGAAAGTGACGTCATTTCCCGATAGGACACACAACCCAGGATACCGTGAAGCGCACTGCGCTTCCGTCATTGGTCAAACCGTTATGATTCGCAAACCAAATTTCTCCGCAGGTGTAGACGATGTCCGCTTATCGAGGACGCGTCGGGCTGCAACCTCGACAAGCGAAGAGACTAACTGTATAGGTCCGAATTGGATGACCACGACCGTTGCTGAGTGCGGCGAGGAACGAGGTTCTTACGATATAGCGTTCTTTGTCGTTATAAAAGGTGACGACCAACAGTGGTTAAAGCGAACGCACGACGTCTGTAATAGTGTTAGCATAGTAGGAGACAGTAGGAATATGCTTTTCGAATATTCTTTGTGTTGTACCGTTTTAGGGTTTGAAAGGGATTGTCCCTTATAAATAGGAGAAAAACGCTCTGTAAAAGGGGGGATACAAAAAAGACAACTTTGCTTACTGAATACAGATCTAAAATCCTTACATCATCTTATTTTGGTCAATCGCATTCATTACAACATTTTTCCGCATTTGAAGTTATCATATTTATGGGTAATCATTTGATTCCGACATACAAGGAAGCATCGATCATCTTGTCTTTCTCTTACATCATTTAATCTAGATTTTATTATACTTGGCTGAGATTTACCTCTTCATCTGTCAGGTTTTAATACCTTTTGGTCAAACAAGATAAATAAGGAGAAAGAAAAGCAGATAGAAAAAATGAAGATTTTTTTTTAGTAAAGAGATGAAGAAAGACAACGAAAAAGTAGGGATAAACGTTAGGTGAGGATAATTACACACTTCTTAAAATTTGCACAAGTCAAGCAACTCATAGTCAAATTTATTTAGATATCTAATTCAGAAATTTATCTTTTTTTTTTTTTGGGTCTACGTACAGATCATGGACTCTTATTGGGTTGTCTCTAAACAAATAATAACTACTTCTACTTGGCACACTCTAATGAATAAATAGTTATTCATCTTGATTCATGATTAGATATTAGACTAATAAATGGAGTAACACATCATCTCATAGATACCCCGTCGATCATTACTTAGTTTACAGCAATAATAGTAATCGAACCTTATGTTTACGCCAAATTATACCAATTTAAAATAATGAATGATTTTATTTGGTAAAAATATGTTTAATTAATCACGATCAAGTGAAAGAAATCTACATACAAGCACATGTTGTGCATCCATTGATTTGGTATAAACACCCCAAGTGAGTAAATTTAACCTAACGTAACCATGTTTTGCTTCCGTTGAACTGTTTCAACTATGAGATGATGTGCATATTCAATATGTAATATACAATTCTTATTATGTATATATATCTAAATATAACATATACACATCCCCCCCCCCCCCCCCCCCAACCAAAGTTTAAGAATTGGGTTTGGATGAATCTAGACATATTATATGTGTCTCCATTACTGTTTTATGGGTATCATAATACATGGTACACACTGACACATAAGCATCAGCTATATATCGTACTCCTTTGTCTACACTACAATGCACATGAATTATCATCTCCTCAATAATTTCGTCTTGCAATATTGGTAACTCGATAATTAAATTTCCCTCTTGACGTAGACATTATTATTGTCTTCTTAGTTGTCTAGTTATCTTTTTTCGATTTTGAACTTGGGATAAGTTCTTTGACCAAAAACTAGATAAGTCCTGTGGATATGGAGATTGACGAGGATATACAGAGACATCACATGGTGCAAATTAATTCCATCAAGAGAACGCACATGATACGATAACTGGATCGAACACATGATTTTTTTTTTTAAAACAAATTCCAAGACTGCGTTTCTTTCTTGGGTTTAATTAGCTCATATGCATTGACTATACATCAGGTCATTTAAAAGATACTCAAATTATATGTATTTATTTATTCATAATATGTGAGATTACTAACTAAAAAATAGGGATTGTAACCTACCACGACAGAATAAAATACTCTAACAGTATAAAAATTGTAACATATTAACAATATAATTAAGTTAAATCCTTTCTATCAATTTGGAAAACCACATAAAACATCCATGTCGCTAGTCCCTAGGCATAATTTGATTAATTAATAGAAGAATCTCATATACATTACGAGTCTTAAGAATTTTATAATATAATGAAAAAAGTTAAAACTAAAACTTCGCCCATAATAAACTATCAATTCCATATGGCTAATAAAATATTTAGATGCCATAATGGTAGAATCTCTCGAGTGCACATAAAACAGGCATGTCGCTAGTCCCTAGGCATCATCTAGCTATTTTCTTTTCTTTATCCCTCCTTGCTTTTGCTCCTGTATTTTGCTAATGATTTGTTTGCATTGTGGGAGGAAAGGGAGCAAGATAACATGTTTAGGTACCTTTATTATATTGTATTCTAGATATTCTCAATTCCTTAAATAATAGGCGAGACTATACGTCAAGCATTTTGCTGCCAAACTTGAATACTTGCTGCATGGATCATGTAAAATTCCAATCTTAATACGATTTGTTTGATGCTTCTAACTATTCAGAAAATTAGTTCTAAGATACGCGCTTTGCGCGTGTACCTCAGATTAAAATATAAATTTAAAAAGTTATATAAATATTATTAAATGTATTCTTGACGTTCAATTGTTAAGTGGCCTTACGAAAGTATTTTTAGAATTTAATATTGAGTGTTTTTTTTTTTTTACCATTTCTGTGCATACATTTTAATTTTCAGTAATAATATAAAAAGGATGCTCCTTAAATCATAGACACTAAGGCATAACCAATTTGCTAAGTTTGCATTTTTTATAGGACTCTTCGTCCTAAAGAATTTATTAATTAAATTTAAAAAGAGGAAAAAAATTAGTAAGTTTCATAATGTCACTTGCAAAATAAAAGAGCTCTCCTATTTTAATAAATAACTATGGCACCCTAACAAATTACACATGCAAGCTCAGATCTACAGAGCTGCCATGGAGTCTTTTGGAAGGTTCTGAGAGAGGAGAAGAAAAGGGAATAGGAGATAGGGATAGAGAGAGCAGATAGATCGATATGTTTTCTGTAAAATGAGAACCCTCAAATGCTTTTAACTGTACAAGCATATATACATGTTGACTATTTGACCAAGCTAATTTTTAACTAAGCTAGCTAACCACTAACTAAGTATACAATACAATAATGAATGTATGAATAATAACTATACTCAATACCCCCCCTCAAGTTGGAAGTGAGGTCTTCACAGCCAACTTGCCTAGGACAGCTGAATGTTTGACCCCTGTGAGGGCTTTGGTGAGAATATCAGCCAACTGATTGTGAGTATTCACACGATGAAGAGAGATGAGGCCTTCTTGTAGCTTGTTCCTCACAAAATGGCAGTCGACTTCAATGTGCTTGGTCCTTTCATAAAATACTGGATTATGGGCAATAAGTATGGCAGATTGGCTATCACAAAACACCTGAATAGGACTTGGTTGGGCAACAGTAAGCTCTGCAAATAGCCTGCTCAACCACACCAACTCCCCAACTACTTTCCTGAGGGATCTGTACTCTGCTTTAGCTGAGGACAAGGAAACAGTCTCCTACTTCTTGGACTTCCAGCTAATAGGGCTGTCTCCTACTAAAACAATGTACCCAGTAACAGACCTCCTAGAGTCTGGGCAAGCTGCCCAGTCTGAGTCAAAATAGGCCTTGATTGAACAGTCAGGACTGTTGGAGAAGAATACACCCAAGCTAGGATCCTTTTTGAGATACCTAAGGAGGTGAAATGCTGTAGTCAAATGAGTGTCCCTTGGAGCTTGCATAAACTGACTTAAGAGTTGCACCCTATATGCTATATCCAGCCTGGTATTGGTGAGAAAGTTGAGCTTTCCCACTAATTTTCTGTAGTATGTGGGATCTGGTAGGAGATTACCCTCTTGTGCTTTTAGCTTGACAGTAGGACCAAGAGGTGAGGAGACATTGCTGTAGTCAAAGCACTAGTATTCTTTCAGTAAATCCAAAGCAAACTTCCTTTGAGATATAAGGATACCATCAGGTTTGTATAGGACCTCTAGACCCAAGAAATAGTGAAGTCTGCCCAAATCCTTTATTCTAAACTTTTGATCAAAGAAGGCCTTCAAACTTGCAATCTCCTCTGAGTCAATTCCAGTGATGATAACATCATCAACATATACAGCTACAAAGATGATGGATGTGGAAGTTTTCTTGCAGAAAAGGGAGTGATCATTTTCAGAATGTTGGTACCCCTTTGAAGACAATGCTTCAGTTAACTTTGCATACCATTGTCTACTGGCTTGCTTCAGTCCATATAGTGACTTGTTTAGCTTGCACACCATTCTACTTGGACTGCATTGATTAACTACAAGTCCAGGTGGAGCCTCCATGCATACTCCTCATGTAGGTCTCCATGGAGGAAGGCATTGTTCACATCCAATTGGAATATATCTCAGCCCTTCTCAACGGCCACTATAACTAGGACTCTAACCGTTGTCATTTTCACAACAGGGGAGAAGGTGTCTGTATAATCAATCCCAGCCTGCTGAGTATAACCCTTTACTACCAACCTAGCTTTGAATCTTTCAATATTTCCATCTGCTTTATGTTTGATCTTGTATGCCCACTTACAACCTATTGCTTGCTTTCCAGATGGTAAGGGGACCAAGTCCCAAGTATGGTTGGCATGGAGTGCCTCAAATTCCTGTGTCATGGCTGCTTGCAAAGCAGGATTGAGGGATGCCTCTTCATATGAAGATGGCTCACTATCATGGCAAACACTTAGCATCAAGTGCTGACTTTCAGAAAATAGAGCATCAGAAGTGATTGTGATGATGATTAGAAAACAGGGCATTTAGTGAAAGGGTGCGGTGAGGTGTAGTGGACAGTTGAGTGGCACTACTATGTAATTGGCAAACATAATCTTTTAAGTAGACAGGAGCCTGATGAGTTCTATTTGATTTCCTTAGAATTGGTGTTTCTGATTGTACATGTGTAGATGAATTCTGTGAATTGTTATCATTTGAAGATGGAGAATCAGAGGTGTTTGAATATGGTGTATCATTGGTGAGTGTTTCAGAGTGGTGTTTTGTGTCTGGAGATGTGACACTATCAGAACTTTGTCCAATGTTCATAGGGGAAACCTGACTGCTGTCCTCAGAATAGCTGGGAAATGACATTGTTTTAAGAACATCAGGAAATGAAGTATTATTAGAACTTAAGGATAATGGGAAAACATTTTCATGAAAGATTACATCTCTGGAGATGTGAATTCTCTTGGTGGCCAGGCTTAGCACCTTGTAACCTTTTGTCCCAACGGGATATCCTACTGTCACGATCTCAAATACCCCGGTCGTGATGGCACCTATCACAGTACTAGGCAAGCCAACTAAACATTTACCACAACGAAATCTTTTATAAAAATCATTTTTCTAATATCGAATAAGTCTCAAATTCGTCATATGAAATAGATAAATAAAATAGAATATGCGGAAAACCAATACAAAATACCAACACAACCCAACAATCCGGTGTCACTGGTCAAGAGCCTCAAAATATAACCCATAAGTGACTGAATAATACATCATAAGTCTGAAATAACAGAAATACTAAGATAAGAAGGAGGAAAACAGGGTTGCGAACGCCGTGCAGCTACCTTGCGATCTCCGGAAATACTCTGAGAGTGCTGGAAGCTCTCACTCTGATGCACGAGCCCCTGGATCTGCACACAAGGTGTAGGGAGTAACGTGAGTACGCCAACTCAGTAAGTAATTAAAGTATATAAAGTCTGAGTGCAGTGACGAGCATTTAAAAATCATATATCAGGAAATCTTAACAGAAATATCAAGACAAAGATCTGCAGTTCAATAGTCAATTTACTCGTAAAATCTCCAGTTTGAATCAAAGTCTTTGAAATCATTTATTCAACATTTTCAATAGAGGCTCGATATAAAAGATGAGTGAAAATAGTAAATATCATAAACAGGCTCCTCGGGCAAGATATCACTCATAAGTATAGCCTCTCAGTCACTCGTGACTCAGCTCTCGTCTCACAGTACCCACTCAGTTGTTTATTTCAAGAATAGGCTGGACCACCCAGCTGTACCCTTTTCCGTTATAACTAGGAAAGAGAGGTGCATGATCTCGCGACAGCACTCCGGCTCAGTAATTAGCTCATAGTAAAAATAATAATAATAATAATCGCTGCGGCGTGCAGCCTGATCCCAATATATATAGTCGGCTACGCTCACTGGGGGTGTACAGACTCCGGAGGGGCTCCTACAGCCCAAGCGTCATACCGCTCCGGCGTGCACCCCAATCCAATACATATCGTTGCGGCATGCAGCCCGATCCATGTAAGTATCGCTGCGGCGTGTAGCCCGATCCATATAAGTATCGCTGTGGCGTGCAGCCCGATCCATATTTTGTTGAAAATATTTTTTTCAGTTTATAAAAAACGATAATATTTTATTAAAAATATTTTTTTTCTGTTTTTACAATTTTTTTTTCAATTTTTACAAAAAAAAAAATGCTTTAAAAAAACTGAAAAACTAAAAAAAATTATATATATTTTTGTAAAAACTGAAAAAAAATAAGAAAACTTTACTAAATTAGTGGGCTATTGGTGCATTAGTTTAAAAAAACGAAAATATTTTTCAAAATATTTTTTTAAGCTTTACAAAAAGAATAATAATTATTTTTAATTTAGCATTGACCTAACGGTCAAAGGGCATAAGTGAACTAAAAAAGTGGATGGAGGGCTATTTTAAACCCAATAGGTGGATGAAGGGTATTTTAAAACCTTTTTCAATAGTTTAGGACCATTTTGAACCCTTTTTCCGTAAACAGAATGCTCCTTAAATCATAGAGACTAAGGCATAATTCAGTAGATAAATCTTATAAAAACTTCTCAATAATTTATGCTTATATAAGACTATTGTTAGAACAATAGCGCATCTAATAATGATATTAATGTCTGTATTCAACTTGTAATAGCTAACTTAATTCCTAGAAGCTGTAGGAAAGAGCATAACCAATTTGCTAAGTTTGCATTTTTTATAGGACTCTTCGTCCTAAAGAATTTATTAATTAAATTAAAAAAGAGGAAGAAAAATGATTAAGTTTCATTACTTGCAAAATAAAGAGCTCTTCTATTTTAATAAATAACTATGGCACCCAAACAGACGAAGAACAACAGAAACAATATAACTCACAAGTAATTCATCTACCACTTACAAAAGAACTATTAAAATATTTAGTTGCTCCATATTATTTAATTGATTCGTTCAAAACCAATCGTAGACATCTAAATTTTAATGGATCAAGCTAAATCCTAAATTCAAGATACTACAAGACCTCTTAAAATTTTAGGAGTCTATTAGTGTTGCTTGGAGGCTACTCTAACAAAACCCAGCATTGGAGGCTACTCTATCCTAACCCTAGGTTATTTCTATAAAAAGGGTTACGCATTCTCTTAAAAAGGCATTTCAAAAATGGAGATCATCTCGAAAATCCCATAAACTCACGGGATATTCACAAAGGCATCAAGAAGTGGCCGGATAATTCTTGATAATCAAATACTTCAAGAAGATCCACAACATACTTCATGGATATCAAATAAATCCATGAAAGCCCGCACCATCCTACGTTCGAGAAACACGCTGTTCTAGCCCTCGAATAGGAGTAGGTGCTTGCAGCTCGCTCGCTGTCTACTAAATGAGCCTTCACTACCTGCCCCGCCCCTGTCTTTAATCTTAAGTAAAGTGAAGTCACATCAATGAAGTGAACAACCCAACCTCTTTGTTTGAAGCTTTGCCAGGAAGCTTCTACTTGTTGAAGCTTTGTTTCCCCTAATTCCGAAACACAACAATAGACTTGCCACTATAGTATAAGAAAAAGCTTCTCTTTGATCACGAAAATAATCAGAAGAGAAGAATCAAGGGGATAAACAGAATTGTACCCGCATCTTTTTATCATTAAAACTATGTTTCTTCATATTTATATTGTGATTGTAATTTATTTTTGTATCACAAATAATTTGTTGCAAAGACCAACAAAATCAGACTGAACGAATTTGTGGAGAAAGCAGACTATTGCTGCCTTCAACTAGCGATTTTTTTTAGCTATTCCATATTTAAAATCTTTCCTTAGTTTTACATTCAAAATTTTTCTTTACGTATTTAATTAACTCATTTTGAAGATAATAAGACGCCCGTAAAAAAAAAGCGAACGATATTTCGCTAAGGATCTTCGTGTTTTTAGTATTTTAATTAATATTAATATTAATTAAGATAATATAGATTACTTATCTATCTTAAATCAACCACTAATCCTAATCCATATTCAACATGATTAATTAGGAAGTTGGAACTAATGAGAACTAATGGCTTGTTTTTAGTTTCAAAGAGTAAAGTCTCCTATTTGTAAACACGTTAACAGCTGAATGCACAGTACACAATTTTTGACTTTAGTAACTCCACGAGAAAATAGTGCCTTTGCTGACTCATCTCGTACCAATCTAAAATGGATAAACACTGACGTGTCAAATAAACATCTCAAACAAAGAGTTACCACGTGTCCACGACAATTGGTTTGTCCCAGTATATTCCACATGGAGATGGAGTGCTCAAACATGCTAAGATCGAATATCCTCCATCTATTTAATATCCACCGTTTAAATTTATATAAGGGTTAAGAAAGAAAGTAGTATATTTGGCCCCGCATGGCCCTCAGTTTTGCCAAAATAAATTTGAGATTTATTTTTAAAACTTATGTTTGGCCATAAATTTGGTCCACATTTTGGCCAAATCCCAAATGAGCTGATTTTAGGCCAAAATCTCAAAACTTGGGAATTATATACATGTTTTTCCAAAATAAAGGTTGAAAATATGTTTTGAAAATGTATGTCCAAACACATTTTAATCTTCAAACCAAACTTCACCCAAATCAGATTTTTCAAAAAAAATGTGGGATCTATGGCCAAACGCTAGCTTAGAACTTGTAAATCTAAATATACTACTCCCTCTGTTCCAATTTATGTGAACCTGTTTGACTGGGCACGAAATTTAAGAAAAAATAAAGACTTTTGGAATTTGTGGTCCTAAACAAGGCAAAAAGGGGCCTAGAGTATTTGCGTGATTATAAAAGCTTCTCATTAAGGGTAGAGTTGTAAGTTTAAGCTAAATTGTTTCCAAATTTAGAAAGGGGTCATTCTTTTTTGAACGGACCAAAAAGGAAATAGGTTCACATAAATTGGAATGGAGGAGTATATTATACTTAATGAATTTTTTAAAATTAAATTGCTTTTATATATAAAAATTTGTCATTTGTTTTGGTCTATGAACAAGGAAAAGCGCCAAATACAAAGGAATAGAAGGAGCTGTCATATCCT